CGCTGGTCAGCCAGGAGCCGGTGCTGTTTGCGCGGTCCGTGAAGCGCAACATCATATACGGCCTGGAGCAGGAGGATGGCGCCCCCGTCACGCCAGGGCAGGTGCGGCTGTGCAGCTCCACAGGGGGGGGCCCGGGCAGCGCGCGGGCTTGCCTTGGCCCCCGCCAGTTCGCACTGGTGTCGCGTGTGGCTTTACCACTGGCACGGGCTGCTGTGTTTTGAGGGTGTGGTCGTGGTGTACCGTTCAAGCCAGCTGCATGCGTCGCCGCCGCCTGCTGAGCAGCCATCAAACTTTTGCCGTTTCTTCCTTGTTCTGAAACTCCACCCCACAAAATCGGGCCCCAAACGCATCACTGCATTTCGCACCGGGCCGCGCCACAACCTAGGGGGCACGCACGCACACGACCCCACCCACCCACCTGCGCGAGCGCTCAATCGATCGTCACCCCCATACTGGCAGGACGAAATTGAGGAGGCGGCGCGCCAGGCCAACGCGGCCGGTTTTGTCGCCTCGTTCCCAGACGGCTTCGACACAGAGTGCGGGGAGAAGGGCCTCGCGCTCAGCGGCGGCCAGAAGCAGCGCATTGCCATCGCGCGCGCGCTCGTTCGCAAGCCGCAGGTGCGGGGTCGCATGTGGGGAGTGAGGGGCGGGTCCCACGGGGCGCGGCGGCAGGGACAGTGATGCGCACCAAGGGAACGGCCAGGCCTGGCGTCCGGCGGGCCACCATACGTGCACAAGGGGCTGCTGGTTGGAGCTAGCCCCTGTGAGGCGTGGGAATGTGATGCCTGCGATGCTCACTCCACCTGGAACCCCCTGACCCATGTCGTGTGCCGCCAGGTGCTGCTGCTGGACGAGGCCACCAGCGCGCTCGATGCAGACAGGTGCGGCGCAGTGTCTGGTGTCGAGAGAGCAGCGATGAGACTGCTGTCGCGCCCAGCCAGCGCCCCGGTGCAATGGGCACCTGGGCTGGTCACAGCTGTCACGGCGTAGCTGGTGCATGCATGCCTCAGTGTGCATGCACGCAAGGCCCAGGCCAACCCACCCGGGTCTGTTTCCCCAGGTTGCGCAGCTCTCGCGCTGGCCCCCAACTCCCCTGAACCGCCTCATCACCCTGCCCCCCATCCGCCGCCCTCGCAGCGAGGCGGTGGTGCAGGCGGCGCTGGACAACCTGATGGCTGGCCGCACCGTGCTCGTCGTGGCGCACCGCCTCTCCACCATCCGCGGCGCTGACCGCATCATTGTCATCCAGGACGGCGCAGTCGCCGAGGCCGGCACCCACGAGCAGCTCATTGCCGCGCAGGGGGCCTACAGCAAGCTTGTGGCGCGGCAGATGCACGGCGGCCCCAGCTCGGGGAGCCTGCTCGGCGCGACGCGGCAGGGGAGCAGCAGCAGCGGCAGCGCGCTGGTCGGCGCAGACGCAGGAGAGGACGGCGGCGGCGGCGGCAACGGGAGCGGCGGCCTCGGGGGTGGGTCCACCGCCGGCGGCGGCGGTGGCGGCGGGGAGGTGCGCGGATACTCAGGCAGCAGCTTCACCAGTGGCAGTGATAGGGCCAGCATAGACAGCGTGCGGCAACCGCGATCTTGACGGTTCAGGTTGCAGCGGCGTCCCCATTTGGACGCTTGACTCCTTCGGATGCTGAAAGTTGAGTTTGGTCAAACAGTGGTCAAGGTACATGTCTCTACCATGCCATGCCCTCACAGCCATTCATCTCCTGGTCAAATTTTGCACTGCACAGTGTATTGGTGTGTGCCTACTGGTGAGTATATATTGTCATTGATGCTAGGCGAGGTGGAAATGCACCTGCCGCAATCAGTAAACATGCGTACAGTATGCAGCGTGGGATAGAGCAACGGTTTGCTGTTCAGCACTGATCTCATACTCCTACATACAATTCACATCCAATCATTAGCCTCGCAAAGTCGATTCCAGGTGCTTTGCTCATTCGCCTTGCGACCAAGATCGGGCCGGATCTCTGCGTGACGAAGCTTTTAAAAATCTGAGCATCACTTAAAAGTGTCAATGAGGCTGTCATCTGGGCCTGCCAAGTCGCCTGCGGCCTGCCAGCGGCTCTCGCGGTTGTCACGGGTGGCCTTCTCACCCTCCGGCAGGCCCAAGAGCCGTGGCAGCATCTCAACACACCATGCCGCTTTGCCACAGCTCGTGCTTGGTGAGGCCCGTGTGGTCAGCATGCGCAAGCGGCAGGTCATTGAGCAGCAGTCGGCGCGTCGCAGCACAAGCTGAATCGGCGACAGCAGCACGTTCTGAGAATAAAAGCTATATTTGTGAAACATTTTATCTACATCAATGAGGCGGGTGCTTACATCGTCATCTTCTCAACATGCAGGGGACGTTGCGCACAGTATCGCGGTTGTCGCCAATGCAGGTGGTATTGGCGCGCCGGCCGCGATCACTGGGACCGTCCTCAGCGCCGGTCTGGGGTAAGCGGCCGCTCGCCAGAGAGTTGAGGGTTCATCAATGGACTTCAAGACAGTCGGGGTCCTGCAATTGCTGCGCCGCACGGCGATGGGTGTGGCAGCTGCAGGAACCAGCAAGCAATTGGAACACAAAGACGCGCGCTCTCGCCCGGAGTGCCAGGCCAGCTGAGCGCTCGCCACCATACGTTGTGCCCGACTCATCCTCGCCCCTCAAAATCAATTCAATTGTCTGACTACCCTGCTGCCCAGGCTGGCTGGGCTGAAGTTTTACTGCTACAGCCAGCTAGAGTACGTCACAGCGGCGATGATCACCAATTGGATACCAAAAGGTGCGGCAGCCTGACCAGAAGCACGCCGCAGCAAGCCAGCGCGCACCAAGCACACGTTTGTGCGCATTTCACCCGCCTGGCAGTAGGGTGGCGCCTGGCGCGCCTCGGTGCTCTGTCATGCTGCTCACGCCGCCACGGCCGCCGCCGCACGCCTTCCGCAGGTGGCAAGGGCGCCAAGGTCGTGCAGTGGGGCGGTGGCGCCCGTCAGCTGTACTACTACACCAAAAACACGCTGCAGGTAAACCAGGGGTTGGGGCCGGCTCGGGGCTTGCAGTGGGGTGATGAGGCGGATAGCCGGGGTAATGGGTCGGTGAGAGGTTGGAGTGGCAGCTGCGCACCCACTGACTCCCCGCACTTGTGGTCTCCAAGGTCACCAACGTGGGCGAAAACGTCAACAAGTCTCTGATGGAGCAGGCGGGCATGCAGGCGGCCGTGCCGACGCTGGCGCGCCAGCAGCCGGTGTGGGACATGTCGTTCGAAGCGGACGGCTCGGTGAGTGGTGGGGAGCTTGGGTGGGGGATGAAAGGGAAGGGGGCTGAGGGTTTGGAAAGGCAGGGGTGCTGGGAAGTCCTTGTGGGATGCAACACAGTCTCGGTGAGAAGCAAAACGCATGCCTTGGTTGGATGGGTGCTGCCAGCAGAACCAGGAACGTGCAGAGCGCGACACCTTGCCCATAGGTCTCCTAGACACCCCTGCACACCCTGATGCGGGCCCAGGCAGACCCAGCGACCGCCACCGAACGCTCTCGCAGCGACCGCCACTGACCACACTCGCGCCGCTCCGGCCGCAGGTGGATGCGATCGTGTCTCTGCAGACGCTGGCGCACCTGCCCGACGACCGCCGCGCGGCGGCCCTGTCTGAGGCCGCCCGCGTACTGCGCCCCGGCGGCGTCCTCATCTTCATCGAGCGCGTCGCGGCCTGCGACCGCGCGCCCGCGTCGCCGCTGCGGGGCCTCATCACGCTCGGCGGGAGCAGCGCCTCGCTGCAGCTGTCAGAGCTGGACGCGCTACGCAGCTCCGCGCCCTCCTCCACAGTCTGGGAGGGCGTCCAGTACGACTTGGCGCTTGAGGGGCAGGACCCCTTTGCCCTCGGCGTGGCCAAGCGGGGCGCGGGCCGCGCGCCTGCGCCTGGCGGCGGGGGCGGCGCGAAGGAGGAACGGAAGCGGGACCGGCGCAAGCCGTCGTCGGCTAAGGGTTTTTAATTGGTCGGCGTTCCGTCACCGTAATTGTAATGCTACAGTCAAAGGATCATGATCTGGCACTGGCAGCAGCGGATTAGCAGCACCAGCGTCCGGCAGGAACGCCACTTAGCTGTGGGGCGTTGGGTCACAAGAGCTGCCATAGGCACCAGGACAGTGACAACTCGTTGCACAGCCGGGCAGAGGGCGCAACGGGGGAGAACTAAGTGGGAGAAGGCCTCTGAGATACCCTACATCATCACTCGGCTGTAAGGCATCCACTTCCTGTGACTTTGCGTCACATGGAAAACAGGGAAGCTGCCCACTCCGGCTCAAAAGCACCGCAAGGTCTGTCGCGGAGGGCTGGGCCTCATGTGCTCAGACAGCAGGTTGCGCAGCATGCTCTAGGCCACGTATTCGGCCCCTGCCAACGCATACGCCCTAGCAGGGCGGCAAGCCCATACACGCAGCATGAGTTCTCCGGTCTCAGCTTTGCTGCACGCCGCGGGCCTGGGGAGGCTATCGGCATGCGGCTTCGCACCCCTAAGCATTGAGGAGTTTCTCGGGCTCAACATGCGGGTGCGTGGGGGCGGTGCAACCGAACACAGGGTATGGAACACCCGCTGATGATCGCTGCAACCGCGCGCGGTGGCGCAGGACCTGGGCCAGTTCCTCAGCGATCCAGCGGACAAGAACGTGGTTTTCGCCCTGCTGAGGAGGCTGCGATCGGAGCTCACTAGCAGAGAGACCAGCGAGCCGAGCAGCGGGCAGCTGGAAGGCAATTCAAGGCAGCAAGGACTGGCCAGCCAGGAAGACCTGCTCGACCTGGATGAGCACGATGGCGACTTGCTTGACGTGAGCACAGGCATGGCAGCGGGATGCGCGTGCTCTGTTGATACGCCCACGCGGCGATCTTGGCGCCATTTCCTCTGCTGGGTGCACAGCTGTGCTTGCAAACGATGCCCCACACCTCCGCTCCGCGCAAAAACTGCAAATTTCCTGTGCTCTTTGTACAGGGTCCGGGGGCGGGGTTCACGCTGTCGCCAATCGAGGCAGCTATGCCCGCGCCAGCTGTGGGAGTGGGCCGGGGCGAGCGGGCGCCTGGTGTGCGGCAGGCGCCGGCAGCTGCAGCGATGGCGGCAGCGGCGGCGGCAGCAGCAGCGGCGGAGCCCCCTGGACCTATCAATGGGGCGGAGGACCCACCCAAGATTAAGGTCGTTGTACGCAAGCGACCAATCAGCCGCAAGGTGGGCCGAAGTAGGCGCAGGCCAGTGAATGGGGTTGATGAAACCAGGGCGGATACGCTGGCAGAAGTCCGCGGCGACCGGATCCACCACGACCTGGCAGGGCGCGACAATTTGGTGGCGTGTTGAGGCGACCTGCATTGGGCGCACGGGATGGCGCTTCGCCGCAGCCTTGCAACGCCAATTGTAGCCGCGCAGACCGCACCGAGCGCGGCGCCGCGCCGCCCCTGCACAGGAGCGCGAGCGCAGCGAGGACGATGTGGTGGAGGTCAGCCGGACGAGCGCGTACGTGGTGGTTAACGAGACCAAGGTCAAGGTGGATCTCACCAAGTACTTGGAGAGGCACCAGGTGGGGTTGATCAGCCACGGGGTTGGTGAAGGAGGAAAACCAACGTTGTACCTGGTGTGTCAGCAGGCAAGGGTAGTGAAGGGCGCGTGAGGAGGGTGCAGTCTCGCATTGAAGGCGGCACGGCTGGCTTGTGGCGAATTGCGGCGGGAGCGCGTGCCGGCGCGGCTCTGCGATGGCCTTGTCTCAGCAGCCGATGCTGCCGCTCCTGCCCCGCTGCAGTTCAACTTTGACGAGGCCCTGGACGAGTACGTCACCAACGACCAGGTGGGGTGCAAGCCGGCTGATTTGGGAAGCTGCCATATGACCATGCAGCTCCGCTGTGCGCGTGAAGCGCTCTGGAGCCACGACTTGCAGCCAGGCGCAAGGCAGACCCAGGCTGCAGCAGCCTCAAAGAAGCGGTTTGTTCATGTTTGCTGGTCTGGTTTATGGTTGATAAAAAAACACTTGGACCCGTCCCGCAGGTGTACCGGCACACCGTGCAGCCGCTGGTGGCGACGCTGTTTGCCAACGGCAAGGCCACCTGCTTTGCGTATGGACAGACAGGCAGCGGGAAAACCTTCACCATGAGCCCGCTGCCCATCCGCGCGGCGGCGGACCTGCTGCAGTACCTGGCGCGGCCGCAGTGGGCGGACGTCAACCTCTTTGTCAGCTGCTTCGAAATTTACGGCAACAAGGTTTGCGGAGCGGGGGCCCAGCATAACTGGGGAAGGAGCCGACGGCACCCAGGGTGTGCCTCACCCCACAGCAGCGCTGACGGGCACGCCGCCATGAGCAAGCACGGCATGCGCCGCCTTTGCCTTCGCAGCGGCGGGTGCGGAGCCGTGCCGGCGTCATTTGAGGAAGCGGCGGAGGCGTGGGGAGGCACAGCGTCGTCAGGATCGCGCGGCGCCCACCTGTGCCTGCCGCCCCCCCGTCCCACCCCCTGGCAGGTGTACGACCTGCTCAACGGCCGCAAGAAGCTCAACATCCTGGAGGACGGCAAGAAGCAGGTCTGCGTGGTCGGCCTCAAGGTGAGGGTGGGCGGCGCACTAGGGGCGGGGCAGCGGTTGGTTTTCTTGGGGTGCGGTGGGGGTTGATAAACGTCCTCGACACACAAAGAAAGACACACTGGAGTGAGCGGGCGGGCGTGCACGCGCGCACACATGCACACACGCGCGAACACACGCAAACACACATTAAATCCTTGTGGACCGCACTCATATCCGCCATGGCGCCCTCAGGAGCACGTGGTGGACGACGTGGAGGTGGTGAAGCAGCTGATTGAGGAGGCCAACATGCGGCGGAGCACAGGCAGCACGGCCGCCAACGCCGACAGCAGCCGCAGCCACAGCATCATGCAGTTTGCGCTCAAGCGCTACATTGCAGGAGGGGCTCACTGCCGGCAGGTGTGCGCAGGCGCAATCCTCGTGCTGGCAGCGGCTCTGTGACGCTGCTCAAAGCAGCAGCTGACACAGCTGCCTTTGTAGGTCGTGTCAGGCACCCGTCAACGCACAGCAGCTGCGGTGGACGCTGTCACATACGTGTCCGAGCAGCGGTGTTCCCACGCGCGGATGCTCGCACATCTGCGACCTGCTCCTGCGCACGCGCGCCACATGCACGCGCTCCAGGTGGGCAAGATTAGCTTCATCGACCTGGCGGGCAGCGAGCGCGGCGCGGACACGTTTGACAACAACCGCCAGACGCGGCTGGAGGGCGCGGAGATCAACAAGAGCCTGCTGGCGCTCAAGGAGTGCATCCGGGCGCTGGACAGCGACGCGCGGCACGTGCCCTTCCGCGGATCGAAGCTCACCGCGGTGAGGCAGGGGGGCGGGAGACGGGGAGTCTCCGGCGACCGGGACAGTGGGGCGCGGGCGAGGGTGGACGCGTGGCTCGAAGCGGGTCGGAGAGGGGCCTAGAGCGCCAGATGGCGAGGCTGCCGCTTGGCATAAAATCAGACTTGTTTATGAGATGTGGCCTGCAGCGCTGTACACCGCCTGCATTTCCGGCTGCGTCAACGCGCACGCCGCCGCGTGTTGTTGCTCTCCGCCCCTGGCTAGGTGCTGCGCGACAGCTTTGTGGGCGAGACCGCGCGCACCGTGATGATCGCGAACATCAGCCCCACGGCCACTTGCGTGGAGCACACTCTCAACACGCTGCGCTACGCCGACCGCGTTAAGGGTGAGCCGGGCCGTTTGGCAGGCGTGTGTGGGGGCTGTGTGCGGGGAGAAGTCTGGGCAGGCACAGCAGCTGGAAATGAGCGAGCGCTTGGCTGCAACAGCCGAGCGTGAGTGATGCGGGTTGCTGCCAAGAGCAAGCACGGCGCAGAAGCAGCTCGCCGCAGGAAAACCTGATGCTGATTATAGTATGTAGCTTGTAGCGCCAACGGGCGGTTTTTGCAGAATGGCTCATGGGCAACCTATGATGGCCGAGGCCAAGTTCAAATAGGGGATAAGCTTCTAACAGCAATGCACCACTCCAGCAGTGCACAAAATCAACAGTGCCCAAACTCAGCAGAGTCTGCTGCTCTGCAGGCACACCCGCCGCGCCTTGCCGAATCGCATCCTGTGATGCGGCCCCGCCCGCCGGCGCCAGCCGCACCCATGACCATGCGCCTCACAGCGCCCCTCCTCTTGCCCGGACCGCCCCGCAGAGCTGCGGAAGGACCGCGCGGAGCGCGACCCCGGCGGCGTCACGCCTGGCGATGACGCGGCATACTACGCATCAGTCGACCGCGCCGGGCCCGTCCTGCCGGGGGGCGGCCTCAGCCCGGCGGCGGCGGCGGCGGCGGCGATTGCAGCGGCGCGCGCGGCGCGGGGTGGCGGCGGCGGCGGCAACAGCGGCGTTGGCGGCGGTGGCGGCGGTGGCGGAGGCGGGTGGGAGAGCCCCTATGAGTCGGATTTTGAGGAGGATGGCTCGGCGGCTGCCTCGGGCGCCGCGCACTCGCACTTTGCCGCCGCCGGCCCCGCCGCGCCTGCCCCGCACCCCTCACAGCAGCGGCAGCAGCGCGGCGGCGGCGGCGGCGGCGGCACCTCCGCGCACGCGTCCGCTTCCACATCGGCGTCCTCGCTCGCGTACGCGGCCGCCGGCGGTGGCGCCTCTGTGCCGCCGTCAGCATCGGCCACCCCGCCGAACGCGAACGGCGGCGCGGGCGGCGGCACGCGGACGCCAAACGGGGATGAGGTTGACAGGCTGCTGGCGGCGCGCGAGGGGCTGATGGAGGACATTCTGGAGGAGGAGGAGGAGATCATCGCGCTGCACAGGCAGCAGATAGAGGAGAGCATGGACGTAGTGCGCAAGTGGGTGGCGCGTCGCACGCCGGGCGGCGGGGGTCGCGCAGCACGGGGGAGGGCGGGGGCGCGCAGCTGGCCGGCGGCTGCAGGGGCGCCCTTTCAAGTGTAGCGACGTGTCGACTGGCTGGACTATGGGCGCTTTCTAAGACTTCCCCTTGCAGCATACACTGCCGTGACACAAACAAACATACAAACGCACACACACACGCGTACACACACACCCACACACACACGTACCAGTGCATACACACGTATCCACACTCAACCATAATCACATCCACACTCTCGCCGTCCCTTTCCCCTGGCTCCCCCCTTGCACCATGCAGGGAGATGGCTATGCTGGCGGAGGTCGACCAGCCGGGCAGCGCCATTGACGCCTACGTGGAGGCGCTGGAGGCCGTGCTGGCTCAGAAGCTGCGCGGCATCCACCAGCTGCAGGCGCGCGTCGAGCGCTTCAAGCAGCAGCTCAAGCAGGAGGAGGTCATGAGCACCACGGTGCAGCGGGCGCGGGTGTCCAGGGCGCGCACGTGACGGCAGCAGCGGCGGTCGGCTGGGGAGCGAGGGCGCGGGCGCGGGCGGCGGCACGGCGGCGGGCATGGCAGCAGGGGGCGGCCGCCTGCTAGGATGGCGCGTCCGCTGAGTGGCGGGTCGCGGGGCCCGGGCGGGCGGTCGCGGCAGTAGGCACGTGCGTGGCCCAGTAGACTTCACTAGTGTAGTGAGTAGGGGGTGCATCTGGGCAGCTGGGTCCCCACGTTCAATGTCCTGATTTTGCTTGTGCCACTGGTCTGGCGTGGTGCACAATGGTGTTGTGAGCATGACTGCTCTGGCTCTGCTGGCGCGCAGCACGCGGCGCGCCCGCCAGCCCCCATCGCGTCACTGCGGCCTTCCTGGCTGCTGCCCTGTTGATGGGTTCACACTTTTCAAACGAAGCGTAACCAGCCTGTCAGGCTGGGCGGCGGGCAATGCCCGCAAGGGTTGATGCGTACGAGGGCGCCGCCTCGAAACTTCATAAGCTGCCTTGATGCGCTTGGTCAGTCGCGCTGCCGATTCGCCCATGGCCGCTCCGTATCGTCATCGACGCATGTGGCATGGTTGCTGCCGGTCATGGGAGGCCCCTGAACTGCTGCAACGTGGATGAGCAAGCTGAAAGGTGGAACAAGGCCAGAGAAGTTGCAGGAGGGTGTTTAGGTACGGTGTATGGGGCTGGGGAGCGCACTCCTGTCGGGCTACCAGGTCGGCATGACGGCAGGGGCCTCAGGTGATGAGGGTCAACGCGCAACTGCATCGAAGCTAGGTGCCTCATACGGTACGTGCAATTTCGAATGCGTTTGAGCACTCAAGTCAACACGATTATACATAATCTTATCAACGTCGTACACAAGTAATCCGCACGAACGGCTGCAACAAGATCGCTTAGAGGCCCTCCTGCATCGTTTTACCGCAAGTAAACATCTTCTACAGTCACAATCAAGCCTTCGACACAGCCCATTCCCCCGAAGGTGTGCGCGGGGTCGGTGGCTTGATGAGAACGCGGGAGAGTTCATCATTTGCAGCCTCGGTCGCATGAAGGGGCATCTGCGATTAAAGGGACGTATCGTGCTGCACCATCATTGCACAACGGAGCATCATCCAACGATCCTTGATGCTTTGCATTCGCTGCAGAGCATACAGACAGCACCCGCCATGGCTGAGGCTGCTGCACCTCTAAAGGCAACCAGGTGAGGGGCCTTGTCCAGCCTCGATTAATGTTCACCTGTATGATATTCGTCAAGTGGACAATGGCCATGCCGCTGTCCCCGCCTGCCAGCGAGTCGCGCACGCACCGTCAGCGAAGACCCCGCTTCCCGCTGCTTCGGCGCAGTGCTTGGGCGCCCCAAAACCAGCCCGCCCCGCCTTCAAGGTCCCCCTGACGCGCGCGGCCGCACTCCTCGCCCCGGTTGAACCCGAACAGGCAAGGCTCTGTGGAGCCCTTCACCCTGGTGGAGGGCCCCGAGGCCTGGTATGCCAAGGACTACCGCGGCCGCAGCGACTGGGTCACCGTGCTGTCACCCACCCACATCGCGGAGCTCGATGCCGCCGTCCAGGTCAGCATCAACCCTTGCCCCTGGCGCCTGCATGTCATACACCCTCGGCTGGCCTCGCCGACCCACTGCATCCACCCGAGGGCCCTGGGCTTGCAACCAGTCCGATGCTGGCCTGCAACCGCGGGCACAGCATCTGGAGCCCCGTCCCATCGCCCACAGGCCCTGAGCGCCCCCCCCTGGCGCCGCCACCGCTCGTCCCTGGCATGCAAATGCAGGGCATTTTGCGCTCGGGCATCGACCTGCGCAGCCAGCTGCACAAGGTCACGCGGGAGCAGTTCCCGCTGCCCACGCTGGGCCCGGTGCTGGACGGCGTGCGCGAGGAGGTCCGCGCCGGCCGCGGGTTCGCCCTGATCCGCAACTTCCCCGTCGAGAGGTGGGGGATGGGGGGATTACGGTGTGCTGGTAACATGACGCCTTGGATGCTGCAGGAGGGAGTGCGTTGTCTGCGGCTTGGCATGGCGTGTCGCGGCTCATGATGGCCTTGCTGGGTCCCCGCTGGTTTTGGGCGCGCGACAGCCGGCCCACGGTCCGTGCGCTGTCGCAATCTCATGACTCCCCAGGTACACGCGTGCCGAGGCCATCGTGGGCTACTGGGGCCTGGGCCTGTACTGGGGCAAGGCGGTGTCCAACAACAAGGCAGGCCACATGATCGGCCACATCAAGGACATCGGCCACGACCCCAACAACCCCCTCACGCGCCTCTACGCCACCAACGCAGCGCAGCCGTGAGTGACCGTCTGCTCGCGGGCTGTGTTGCGTGCGCTTCCAGGGCCGCCGGCCTGCTCGCGTGCTGCCTTGAACCACGATCAGCATGCTGCTCAAAGATAGTGCCCTGGTTTTGTGCGCGGACAGCGCATGCTAACCTCCCTGTCTCTTTCACGCGCGTACACACACATACCCACACACACACCGGCGCTGCACTCGGCATCAACTGTGCTCTCACCTGCTCCCCCTCACATAGTCCTCAAAACAATGCTCAATTTTGGCCGCCAGGTACCACAACGATTCAGCCGACATCGTGTCGCTGCTGTGCCTCAAGGCCGCGCGCTCCGGCGGCCTCAGCAGCTTCGCCAGCAGCATCACGGTCCACAACGAGATCCTCAAGCGCCGCCCCGACCTGGCGCGCGTGTTTGCTGGCGACTGGTACTTTGACCGCAAGGGGGAGGTGCCGCCGGGCAAGAAGCCGTTCTTCGCGATCCCGGTGTTCAACTACCACGAGGGTTACCTGAGCGTAAACTACAGCGACAACTACTACCTGCTGTCGCAGCGCCACGCAGAGGTGCCGCGCCTGACCAAGGTGCGCGGCGCGTGCGGTGGCGCGAGCGCTGGGTGTGAGTATGGGGGCGCGTGCGACGCCGGCGTGGAGGGGTCGTTGGCGCGCTCACGCACACGGGGTAGCTGGACCCCAGGCCTAGCGGTTTTGCGGTCTGGGCCGACGCTGCAGCCAGGCGCTCGGAGCCGGCCCTCGCATTGCTGCCTGGACATGTCCGTTCAGCCGCAACCCGGCCGACGCACGCGCCTGCGCGCGGGCCCCTGATTCTCCCAACCAGCACCGCAATGAATGTTCTCCACCCCAACCTACCCAACACGCTCCCGCCCCCCCTGCCCCCCAAAGGCCCACTACGAGGCCATGGAGCTGTTCAACCAGCTGGCCCGCAGCGACGAGCTGCGCCAGGACCACATGCTGCAGCCGGGGGAGATCGAGCTGCTGTCCAACCACACGCAGCTGCACACGCGCGCCGCGTTTGAGGACTACGACGACGTGGACCAGCGCCGCCACCTGCTGAGGCTGTGGCTGGCGCCGGCGGTGGACAGGCCGCTGCCGGAGAGCTACAAGGAGATCTATGGCGGCAGCGTCGAGGTGCGTGCACGCGGGCGCCATGCCTGCGCGCCACCCGCGAGATCTTGCGCATCCAGGCGTGCGTGCGCCTTGCTGCGTGCCAGCTGCGTCCCAAACCGCCTCGTTTCATCGTCTGCGTGGTCGTGGCCGCCGAGCTGCCTGCTGTCAGATGTGTGAAAACTCTGCTCCTGTGGCCGTCACATGCTCGCCCTTGGTGGGTTGCGCTGACGCCTCTTTGTGTGCTGCGTTGCCCCTGTGTTTCCGGTAGGTCGGCAACCGCGGCGGCATCCACGTGGAGGGCACCGAGGAGCACATCTCCCTGGAGGCAGAGTGATGAGGGACTCAGCATCCAGGCGGCGCCGCAGCCCTCGCTCACTGGCCGGCCGAGCCGAGCTGGCGCACGCCGGTCCGCCCTCTGGCAGGCAGATGCTTCCAGGCGTCAAGACACACGAATGCGCGGCGCCCGCTGTTTTTGAGCGAAACACCTGAGGGGCGTCGCGCCCACTACTGAGCATCGTGAAAGTGGACTAGGCGGCGTGACACCCCTTAGGGTGACCAGCCTGGACGGATCAAAAGTTTGCCTGGTCGAGCTATTGCTGGCGCAGGCGCGTCGCGCAGGTGTTGAGCAGTGCTGACCTTTCCGGGGCACAGCGGCTCGCAAGCAGCCCGCTGCCTCCCCACCGCAACAACACAACGCTTGAGCATGGCAGCGCGCGACGTAGTGACCGCGAGTGCTCGTATAAATTACAGCCCACTGACTGTTGTCGCGCAGAGGCAAAATGCTTCGCACTCCCTTATCCTGCGCAGTTGCGCCCCAAGTGGTGCGGCCTTGTATACTGCTGCGATGTCTTCTGTTTTGAGACAATTTCACACGCGCACCTTGCAAAACCACACGGCCGGCTGCCCACACGACGCGCACCTCGCGCCAGGCGCTGTGCAGGGCTCCCACCCTGCGTGCTGCTGCAAACACCCCCAGCAGCGCTGCGATTGTGCTGCCTTGCATTTGTAACCATGAGCTTAAGATCCATCCGCGGCTGCAAGGTGTGGTGGCCAGGGAGCGTCGCGCCTCACCTGGTGCGCTGAGCAGGAAGGGGTTAATACTGGCAGCACAGTGCCGACAGTAGTAATGGTGTGGAGGCCGGATGATGTGATCACATCATAATGGCACGCATGAAGCCAGCGCTGGCGCGTGTGGGAGTGCGACCAGCAATGTTGGGTGTGATCCCAGGTGGCGCCCGCAAGTCCACCCGGAATTTCTGGCAGCGGCGCATACCAGATGGCACTTGGATGGATTCCAGTGCCAAACGCTCTGGCTGCCTGCTGACCTGCTGACAGCTGGCATCGAGTGTGACGCTTGCCAGGCGCGGGTGGTGCAGCTGTCGCGGCTGGTGCGTCGGTGCCGCATCGGTTTGTGGCTGGATTCGGCTGGGCCGTCTGTTGCAGGGATGGGTTGTCCCTGTGGGTCAACTTGGAACGGCAGCCGGTGGGCTAGCTGGCTGAAAGTCTTTTACTCGTGCATCAGATTGCGTGAGCGTTGTCAGGGAGAGTGGAGCTGCGGTGATGCAATGTTGCAGGTTTGCAGGTGACAAGGTGAATGATTGGAATCAAGATCGCAGTGCTGGCAGCACAGTAGTTCACAGATGCGGGATTCACCCCTGCAATTGTGGTCAACAACTTTCAGGAGCTATTAATACTGTGGGGCACCAGGCGGCATCGCCCATCCATGTATGCACACAGCAGTCAACTGGGATGGAGGCTGCATTTGGCAGACGGGGGAAAAGGTGACCGACAATCGCCCAGCCGGCGGTCGGGTGTCCAGCCATGAGACTTGCCAAGTGATCCCTGATGTATCCGAGCCGTGTACTGAGTCCATATCCAGCGACCCTTGCGCGATCCATCTACGTACATGCTGAGCGTTCGAGCTGCATCAGATCGGCTGCCATCGACTGCAGCCTCAAAAATGTTTCCGTAGAATTGTCTTTTAGTGGGTAGTACATCTGACGGGTGCAATGGCGGGAGTAGCCCAGCTGCACTACGATGAGGAGGACTGTCTGGGCTTGGAGCTATTTGCAGCGGAGTTAGAGCTCCTGCTGGCCACCAGGGATCGCAGACCCGATCAAACGCAGCTGCTGGAGCTGCTGCAGAAGTTGCAGACCTCCATCAGCGGCGCAGAGCCAGCGGTTGTCAAGCGCTGTCAGAAGCGATGTGAAGGCGCCCTAGCCGACGTGCTGCGCAAGGGCGCGTGTTCGGTGGTAAGTCTGGGCGTTTGCGGACCAAGCACGCCTGCTGGGCACGAGCTAGTTGGGCCTATTGGCGTCGGCGTGATTGGTGTTGACTGTTGACAACAGCGGCCTTCCAAAACAATGGCAGACGAACTCAGCGGCTCCCACCGCCTTGCGCGAGCAATCGACTTCGGCCGGCCGCAGCCAGGCGCCCCGCTGACCGCAGAGCCAGCCCCGCGCGACTATTTTCATCGCCGGTGCTGCCCCGCCCGCCGCCGCCACGCCGCAGGTGCGGGGCCTCGCATGCAGCTGCATGAGCAGGCTGTTTGCCGCCGGTGACACGCTGCCGCTCTATGGCCGCGTCAACGCGCTTCTGGGAGAGCTGCAGGAGAAGGAGAAGGCGGGCGGGGAGGTGCGGCGCGGCGCGGCGCGGCCGCAGCTGTGTGCCCGGCCTTGTGCACGCCCGCACGCACGCGTTGTGGAAGATCCTTGACCGGGCGGCATTCGAGCTTGTCGAGGCTGCGCGGGCGTGGTGCACTGCCCTGGGTGTGAGCGGGTTGCCCCCTGAGCGCGTTCTGCCCCTTAAACGCAGGCCCAGCGCCTGGCATCGATGGAGCTCCTTGCGGCGCTGTTCTCCGCGCACGGGCGGCGCCTCGGCAGCAGCGGCGCTGAGGCGATGGGCATAGCGTCCAGGTGCGAGCGGCAGTGGGGGCAAGGAGGCTGGCGGCATTGGTGAGCGCGCCGCGAGGGCGCGCAGCGCGCTCAGGGCGCAGGCGCGGAGGCTGCGGCAGTTGATGGGTGGACAGCTCATCCAACAGCTGTCATATTTTTGTCGCATGCTGGTGTGCCCCCGAGCCTGAACAGACACAGGCACATGCATAAGGTACCCCTTGCCACTCGTGAACTTGTGCGGTTGCGCCTCGCCGCGATGGCGTCGGCCTTGGCGCGATGGCGACAGGACCGCCGGCAAGGGCGCCACGCCCGCGCTGCGAACCGCGGGGCTGCGGCTTGCAGTGGCGGTGGTGGACGGGCTGAACCCCCTGGATCGCAACGCGGCGACCGTGCATGCAGAGGGCTGGAGGCTGTTTGACCGGTGCATCAAGGTGCGGCGGGGGGGGGCCTTAAGAGGGGTCTGGCGCGGCGCATTCCAGAGTCTTCATCTGTAGGGCCAAGTGTTCCAATAGAGGCAGGCCTTTTGCAGAGAGCTGGGCTGTCGCAGGCGGCTGGCCGGTCCTTCAGGGTGTTTCTGGCTGCGGGCAGCGGTTAAGGGGTCAGTGGCATTGACTGGGTTGCTGAGGCATGACGGGAAACGTGTCGGCGCGCTCAGGACAAGGCGTCCGACGAGGGCCGCGCCCTGGGGGCGGCGATGCTGGCGTCGCTGGCGCGCGCGGGCGGCGGCGCGCTGTGGGCGGCGGGCGGCACGGGGTGGGAGGAGGGCTGCAGGGCGTGCGCGGCGGCGCTGGAGGACGGCAGCGAGGTGGGTCGCTGAGCCAGCGGGGAACTTGGCGGCGCGACAACCATGAAGGAGCAGCTGGGAGTCTTGCAGACTCACAGGAAGGGCTCAGGAGCGCACACAGCGCTGGCATTACGTTGCAACAGCCATCATGCCCGGCGCGTTGCGTCCGATCACGCCGCGTCACGTTTGCCGGGAGCGCAAGGCAGGCCGTCGAAAAGAGAAACCCATGGGCGGCCCATCGGGATGACGTACCTACGCAGCGGAGAGCGATTGCGCCTCGGCCACAAAACTTTGACAGACGCGCACGCAACTCCATAAGGCCGCACAAAGGCACGGCGCCACGCCTCGTCCCCTTCCGCGTACGTCCCCCCTTCAACACAAACGCCACAGGCGGTGCGCGAGGCGGCTGCGCTGGCGCTGGCGGAGCTGGCCGCCTGCCCCCGCAGCCCCGATCTGGGGCTGACGGCCGCCCTGGAAGCTGAGAAGAAGCCGGCAAAGAGGCAGCAGCTGGAAAAGGTCGCGGCGGGCGCGTTCAAGGCGGCGCTGGTGGTGCCGTTTGTGGAGGCGGCGGTGCGCGGCAGGAAGGTCCGTGCATCGGGCGCGAAGGACGCGGGGATGGGAACGGCGCTTCAGGGGGCAAGCACAGCTGAGCAGCGTGGATTTGGGGCGTCGGGTCGCAGCATTTGGCAAACAAGCGACACCTTGACGCCGTGGCGGGCTTTGGCCTCCTGGGTGGTGATGGGCGCCTGCGATACGATGACGCGCACCCTGCGCACGCGGGCCCCTCGCTTGGTGCCCCCAAAACCCGTCCGCCAGGATGCGTGCGTCGCGCTGGCGGGCGCGTGGGTGTCGTACGCGCTGGGCCTACTGGGGCGCGGCAAGCTGGACGCAGATGGGCTCGTCGACCTGGGGGTGACGGCGGTGGCCATGCTGGAGCCAGCCAGCAAGGCGGCCGCCGCGGCGGACGCGGCGGCGGCGGCGGCGGCCAAGGGGGCGGCCGCGCAGGAGCCGGAGCTTGGGGCGTGCCTGGCGGGTGGGTGGCACGTGGGGGCTGGGTAGGCAGGGGTGCGCGAGCGCGGCGCCGCGGCTTGAAGGGGTGCGAGGCCCGGGCGGCGACGGCAGCGTCGCTGGGCGTGGCTCGTCGGGCGAGGCCGTGTGCGAGGCCCTCGCGCCATGTGCGTGCGCCAGCTGCTGGCCACTGACTGTGCGTGCACGCGGTGCAATACGCAGAGGGGGAGATGCCCCATGCGCAGGCGTGCGTGGTGTATATCTTGAGGGTCGCCATCATACGCCAGGTGGGGCTCTCAGAGGGGAAAAGGCAGCGCCCCTGGGGGGGTGGGCGGTCCCAGCAGCGTTGTCCTGCTCAGTGTGACCTGCAGGGAGAGGGTGGGCGCCACTGTGAGCCCGCAGTGCTGGCTGTCGTCCCGTCATCTGCGTCGACGGGCGCGCATCCCAGGCCAAGGGGCAAAGCTGCCTGCAGGCAGCTCCCAAGGCACAGAACGGGGAAGCTGTCTGCCGGCACGGGCCCTGACGGTGCGTCCCCTGGGCTTGCGCCGCTCATCACCGTGTGCGCGCGCGCGCATGCTGCGTCCGCGATCTGCGGCTGCTGCGCAGCTGCCGGAGCAGGGCCAGCGGAAGCTGCTGGACCGGCTGGCGGGCGCGGCGGCTGGCGGCATCGCCCCGCCGCTGGTCACTGCGGCGCTGGAGGGCATGGGGGCGCTGGTGGAGGTGCTCGGGGAGGTGCCCCTGGACGCGGCCGCGGCAGTCGAGCAGGCGCGCCTCTTTGTCTTTGTCCAGCATGGCACCAGATTTTTTGACTCTGCGCTGCAGGGGCGGGGCGCTGACCGTGGCGCTCATGAGTCCAGCGGCCTCACCTCTCATGGCGTGTTTCTGTTTCAGCAGCGACCACGATGAGGCTGCATGCACTTGCTCCAGGTGATCTCCACGCTTCTAATTGGCAATGCGGCCCTTGCCTGCGACTAATGCCTGCCTTTCGCCCGCCCGCCTTCCGCCCGCGCCCTGCCGGCCCCAGGTGGTCAGCAGCAAGATCACCTCCCCCTCCAGCTCAGTCCGCCACCAGGCCACCTCCGTGCTCGCCGCCCTCGCCCTGGCCGCACCCCCCCTGATGGCGAAGCTGCTGGGCAGCTACCTGGAGGCCGTGGAGGCGGGCGCGCAGACACTGCAGATGCTGGCGGCGCCTTACAGCAAGCCAGGGGTCGTGGGCAGCAGCAAGCTGGGCCCAGGTGCGCTGTTGACGGCGGGAGCATGGGGCAGATTTGCTTGTTCGAGCCCGGGCCGCGTGCGGTGTTGCCTGGCAGCGGCAGAGGAGATGTGATGACCGCTTAAACTCCTGACCCAAGGGCCGCAGCATTGACGGGGAGGAAGGTTTGCATGTTGGAGCGCATTGTGGGCGGGAGATGCTGTGGCGGTGCGATCGCTTTGACCAACAATCCGCATGTAACGGCGGCCACTACGCTGCCGCGGCCAACCGCGCGCGCAGGCACGCCGCGCGCGGCGCCAGACAGCCAAAGCCGCCACGCAGTCGACGCGCTGCACGGCTACGCGCTCGCGGTCGGCGCGCTGCTGGTCGCCAGCGCCCGCAGCGCGCTCGGGGTGCCCAGCAGGCTGCCGCGGACGGCGTTCTGGGTGGCTAAGCGGATGATCTTGCAGGTGAGCTGGCGGCGGTGGCGGGCGCGCCTGCTGCGGCTGTCGGACACCATTGCTTCCAACCCTGCGCGTCCCCTGGCACCTCTGCCCTCTGCTGACGCGGGCGCACGGCTGCGCGTTGCTGTCGGCCGCGGTGTGGGATGTTTGGGGGTCGTTGGAGGTCTGCGGGCTAGAAACGCACGCTGCGGAGGAGCGAGGCGGACGGGCCCCTTCCGCGCAACTGCCAGCCTGTTGCAAAAGGGGTTCAGGAGGCAGTGCGGACCCCATACAGAGCGTTGGCCCCCAGGCTATCCACAGGCCCGCGGCTTGGTGTGCTTCTGCCATCCCTCCCCCCCCCACACACACACTCTCCTCCCACCCCGCCAATTGCAGCCCTACTGCAGCGCGCACTGGGCTGCCGCTGCCGAGCGCGATGCCGGCTACCTGCTGCTCGGCGCCCTCTGCGCCGGCGGCGCCAGCGCAGACATCCTCGTGGGCCTGTCAGAGGCGTCCCGCAAGCGCGGCGCGGGCGGGGACGCGCTGTCGCTGTTTGCGGTGGCGCTGGGGCCGGGCGCGAGGGGCGCCGTGGACGAGAAGAGGTGAGGCGGGCTGGTGGAAGTCGGCGGGGGCGGGCGGCGCACCGCTGCATTGATGTTGGTGGACGCCTGGGCTCAAGCCACGTTCGTCAGAGGTTCAGCTGCTTGTTGGGGGGTGGAAGCCGAGATGATTCCAACACGCCCGATACTCTACACACCATGCTCATGAAATGCGGGGCCCATGTGTTGATTGCACCTAGAGCTGTAGGCAGCAAGGGCTGTCGATCTGACACAACCGAACAGCCCAGCCTGTTGCGCGGCGCCCTCACGACCCTCCACGCCCCGCCGCGCGCCCCCGCCCCTCGCGCCGCAGCTACGCGGGCCGCCCCTGCGCGGAGGCCGAGTTTGCGGTGGCGCTGTGGTGGCGCGCGAGCGCGCTGCAGGCGCTCAGTGCGTACGCCCTGGGTGTGATCGCCAAGGGGCTCGTGCCAGACCCCCAGGCTCAGGTACGCGCCCCTGCGTGCGCTCTCTCCATCTCTATCTCTCTCTCTCTTTCTCGCGTGCGCGCTCGCGCGTGTGCGTGTGTGTGTGTGTGTGTGTGTGCGTGTGCGTGTGTGTGTGTGTGTGTGTTTGTGTGGTTGTCTATTTGTCAAACAGAGCAAGAAGAGGGCGCGGGCGTCCGTTGGCAAGGGGCCTGGTTCCTGCCTACTCCCCGGTGCCGTCTTCGCCCTGAAACCCCCGCAACCGCAGGCCCCCTCTCCGTCACACAACCGCAGCTCGCCGAGGGGTACCTGCCGCAGCGCCTGCGCTTCCTCCCTCGCAGCCCTGAACCTCCATGAACGCGCCCTTACCCAGTGCAGCCTTCTACTCCCCGTCCCCCCCCTTGGGCCCCCAAACCCTTCCCCCGCAGATCCGCGCTATTGCGCAGATGGTGGCCCCACTCCTGGACGCCCTGATCTCCCAGCCCGCCCTCATGGACCCCGCCCGTGCCCTCCTGTCTTTCGCCGCCGACCGCAACGGTGCCCCCACCGCGCCCCCCTCCCCGGACGCGGCCCCCGGGGGCGGCCTGGCCTCGCACCCGCACGTCGCGGCGGCGGCAGCCACCCTGCAGCTGCGCCTGCTGGAGGCGTTCTTCTACATGCCAGGGGCGCAGCTCTTTGCGCCGTGCCACGGGGCGCTGCTGAAGATCTGCTGCCGCCAGCTGCAGGGCGTCGGCGGCGCCAGGGTGTCACCAGGTGCGCGTGCCACCAGTGCGCAGCCCTGCCCCCGTTTGCCCGCCTTTGGCCACAGGGGTTTAGGGTTGAAACCCCAACCCTAAAACCAATTCCTTGCCTTGGGCCAAGGCAGTTTCCCGATGTGGATGCTGTCAGCATGGCCCGTGCCCTCGTAGACATGCCGGACGCAGGTCAAAACTTTGTGAAAATTTGTGGCGTACCAAGTTTGGCCCGATGGCGGACCGATGACGCTAAACGAGTGTCACCGCACAACACGTGACGTCCGTCCACCGCGCCGCGCGCACGCACGGCCCATGCACCCGCAGGCGCGGCGGCGGCGGTGGCGGCGACGAGCCTGCGGCACATGCTATGTGGGCAGGACGCCATTTTGGGCCCTTGGCTCCCGGGCAGGGAGCTTCTGGAGGACGAGCTGAGGGCCTTCGCGGGTGGGTGGGGGGCAAGGGGCATGCGTCCAGCGAGTGACCATGGGTGTTACAAACATGAGGAGGGGTCTGGCTTCCAGGCGATCAGGTTTTCGTACAGCGGTGGTTTGTGCAATGGCGGGGTGGTTTACGGTCGCGTGTTGTTTGGCGTGGGTTTCGTGCGACGGGGTTTAAAGGAGGGAATGGGATTTCAAAGCGGCCGCTTGGTGGGGCCTTCCGCGCGGGGGTGCCTGGGGTGGGTGGTGCCCCCTGGCGGCGCGCGGCACGGGTGTGCTGGGCCTGGGGGTTAAACATGAGAGCACCAGGCGGGCTCGCAGTGCTAGCGCATTTCAAGGGGGACTTTTGCCTGTTGCGTGCCGCGCCCAGCCCTGCTCCCACCATGCGCCACGCCCTTCCCTTGCGCCCTCCCCACGCTGCGGCCCTGTGGCCCTTCCCCGCCCCCCGCCAGGTGAGCGCGGCGGCCCCCAGCAGCACCCATGGGAGGCCGGCCTGGCGTTCACCGCAGGATTCCTGGGCCACACAGACACGCTGCTCGCGGGATCACGGGGCGACGACGACGCGCTCGCGCTCCTCGCACCCGCGCCAGCACCTGAGCAGCAGCAGCAGCAGCAGCAGCAGCAGCAGCAGCAGCAGCAGCAGCAGCAGCAGGGCGCGGAAGCCAACGGGACTGTTGCGCACGAGGGCCCGGCGCCGCCGGACGCGCCCTGGCTCGCCGGCGGCGGCGGCGGCGTGTTTGACGGCGGCGCCCCCGACGGCGGCGAGGGCGTGCAGCTGCGGCGCGCGCAGGCCGACGGCGTGCGCGTGCACCGGCGGTTCTTCCCCTACCCCCAGCCCTACGGCCTGGGCCCGGCGCTGCTGGAGGTGCAGCTGTGGCTGCTGGGGAAGCTGCTCGCGTTTGTCCCCGTCAGCGCCCAAGTCCAAGTCCTCCAGGTGCGCCCGTGAACGCGGGCCGCCGTAGCTTTCCTGCAACGCCGCGCTGCGCGGGTTTTGCTCCGCACGGCTCCTGTCGGCGCTGGCGGCCCCCTTGCTGCGCCGCGCTGCTGGCTCGCCACCCCGTTCAACGCCCTTGGAGCGGCGCCACAGGCTCTCTCGCTGCTATTCTTGATGCCCTCGCTGCTTGTGTGTGGCGCTGCTCAAACCCCGCAGATCCTGGCCACCGCGGCCTCCCCCAAGTCCCACCCCCTCTCGCGCAAGGACCCCGCGGCCGCCCGCCAGCGCGCCGCCTGCTGCGAGGCCGCGCTCGTCGCCACGCTGGCTGGCCTCGCGCCCATCGCCAAGCGCGCGGCGCGCAGCAGCAGCAGCGGCGGCAGTGGCGGCGGCGACGGCGGCTTGGAAAAGGTGCGGCGCCGCGAGGGATGGACGCCCGGCACCGCGCACCCACGGAGCCGCACAAGCGGCACGAGCAGGCGTGCATGTGGGACGCGCGGCCTTCACCCCTCGACAATCTGCGCCGCGCCTCGTCGGACAATTGGGTCGAGCCGCTGCACTCGCGCCGCCCGCCTCGACGCGCTGTGGCCGGCCAGCCGCGCCCGTGTTGCGCTCATGCCCCCAGCGCCCGCCGGCGCCGCCGCAGGTGGCGGAAGCTGCCCTGGCGCTGGCAGAGGCCCTGTTGGAGGACCAGGACGCCTCAAACCCCGCGCTGCGCCGCGGCGGCGCCGAGGTCGTGGCCGCGGCCTGCTGCATCGGGAGCGACGCGTTCGCGCTGCAGCAGGTACTGAGGGGGGAGGATGGCGTGACGCCGGGCTTGGCCGGGCGCTTTCCGCGGGGGATGGCTCCATCAACACACAGGGGGAGGGGTGGTGGCTTGAAGCTTGATTTGGGTTCCCTACAGAGCCGGATGGGTTTGCACGTGTCTGATATAAATGGAGAAATCTTTGACAAAGACAATTCTTCCTTGTTTCCTCCGCTCGCAAACCCCCAATCTCCTCCGCGCCGCAGGTGCACGCAATGTGCGCGCAGCTCGCGGCCTCCCTTACCGACGAGGCGCCGCCGCCCGGCAGCGCTTACACCAGGTGCGCGCATCAGGCTGCTACGCGCGGCCTGCGGCGCTCAGCCCGCATGGCCGCGGGGCGCCCGACCCTTGCGCCCATATTCAAAACTGCGTTGCAGTCTGGGGGATGCACCCACACACTCCTACTCCGCACGCTCCGATGGCCATTCTGGCCGCCCCGCCGCTGCCCGGCAAACACCCGCGCCCCTAGAGATGCCCGGCTACGCGCACATCGACTAAACCCTAAACCCCCGCGGCCACCTAAACCGCCCCCAGGGACGCCCTCTGCCTGTCCCTCGGCTGCGTGCACCGCGCCAAGGGCGGCCTCGCCCTGCGCTCGTCAGTGGGCGTCACGGTGGAGCACCTGGTCTCAGTCGCCTCGCGCCCCGCCGGCGGCGCGCCGCTGTGGGCGCTGCAGGGGCTGCTGTGCGTCGCGGGCGCGGCGGGGCCCGCGTACGGGCCGCACGTCAAGCGGACGCTGCAGCTCGCGGAGGAGTTGCTGGTGGGCGCCCGCCGGCACAAGGCGTTGTGTTTCCGCTCGCCTGCAGTTGACCTGGATTTGCCAGGTCGTGCCAGCAATTTGCCGCGTGCCGTCCTACAAGCTTGAACCTGGGTGTCGGTTGTCCCCGGCTCCCGCCGCCCGCTCGCTCGCCCTCCCAGTCCGTTGCGCCCCGCATCCCTACGCCTGCCAGGTGTCGTCCGTGGGCGACGCCCCGCTGATGCGCGTCGCGGCCGCGCGCACCGCCAACGCAATGGTGGCAGTGCTGGGCCCCGAGTTCCGCCTGGGGTCGGCCTCCTACCAGCGCATCAAGTGCCTCGTCACAGACACCAAGCCCGCGCCCCACGACGACACCGTGGTGGCAGCCGCCGCGGCGGGCGGCGGCGGCGGCGGGCTCGCGCGTGGCGAGGCGACGTGGGCGGCGCTGGAGCAGGTGGGGGGTGAGGAGGGCGGCAACGCGGCGCGGGGCGGAGCTTGCGGCGGAGCAGCTGCCGGGCGGCTTCTTGGCGGCGCCGGCGGCCGGTGTTGACCTTGAAGCCGCTGTACCCCGGCGTGCCGCTGCTTTCGCACGGTTTGCGTGTTGCTGCTTTAAAGCACCTGACCCATCCCAACTCCTCAACGACCCCACGACGCCGTTCCCCCTCCTGACCCTCATCGCAAAATTCGATCTGAACCCTTCCGAACACAACCAATCCAACCCACCAGGTCCTGTTTGCCCAGCAGCTCGTCCTCTTCGCGCCCCACGCCGTCCCGCCCGGCAAGCACACCCCGCTGTTGCTCGCCACCCTCGCGTCCGCGCGCCCCGCGCTGCGCCGCGCCGCGGCCGCGACGCTGCGCCACCTCGCGGAGCGCGACCCCGCGGCGGCGCTGGGGCAGAGGATCGAGGGCCACCTGCTCGCCGCCCTGGAAGCTGAGTCAGAGCCCCAGATCGCCGACCAGCTGCGCGCGACGCTCGCCGTGCTGCTCGCCGCCGGCGCGCCCGCGGCGCCGGGCCGCTGGCTCGCGCTGCTCTCCGCCGTCGCGCTCGGCGCGCCCGCGGGGCGTGGCGGCGCCGGCAACGCGG